GGAGTGAAGAGAAAACTGCTCTCTAACAGCCAGGCTGAGAGGCTCTGACTATGAAACTTTCAGTTATAAAGGGTTTCTGACACCTGAGTGAAGATCTGTGCTACCAATATGAGGCAATGGCATTTATAAATGCAGGCATGAATGCATACATGTGTACACTGATTTGTTGTTTTCAGCTCAGCATCTATTTAAAAACATACTCAAAATTCGTAAAAAATGTGTAGAAATGCTTTTTGTTTCACCTTTCAGTGGTAATTAGAAAAAAATACCAAGAAAAATCAAGGTAGACCTTTAGTGACATTTTGACTTTTTTGGAACAATTTAAGGTAACAGCACATTTTATTTATTGGATGCAACAGAGACAGAACTTAATACATATAATTATGCAGTTTGCAAATGTGACAGCTCTGATGTTGCTGCAGTGCAAGTCCATGCAGTCAAATTAGAATCATAATGACAGTAATTACACTAATTAGCTTTTTTTCTAGTTTGTTACCAGCAAAGTTTTGCATGTTTACTCGAGTAACAGCTACTTCAGCTTCCCCCTGAAAATCCACCATAACCAATTCACTAAATAGCTGATTTATCACAGCCCTGTAATACACAAGGAACATTCAGAGATGAAAAGGCAGATGCTAAAAGGGTAAGGCTTAAAATCCATACAATGTTTTTCATACATTATTCACACGCGCAGTCTACAGCTGTAATGCTTAGAAGCTTAGACAGGCATAGGGTGAAATATTTAATGCAATCCACAGGCAAGCAGCACGACTGACACGTAGGAGTACACAGAGCAGCCTCTTGTTGTGTGTAAGTGACATGGAACAGCAAGGCTCCCAGTTTCCCAGCACCCAAACAAGGCTTTGTGCAGCGCCTGTTAACCAAAGTGCTTTCAAACCACTCTTCAGATGTGAAAAGCTCAACACTGAATGGCTGCAAAGATCTCAGAGCCAGGCTCTGAACGCAGCTGAATCCCATGTGCACAGAGCACTTGATACACCTGGGAGGATGCCCTTGATGTTCACTGAATATTAAGCACACAAATTGGGTGCCAAGACCACCTTCTCCTTAAAATGCATACAGTTCTCCTCCCAAGAATATACATTAAGGTGACTATTATAGCCCCACGTGTCCCCAGCAGGAAATGTATGCATTTATAGACTGCACAGACACAGGACCAGCAGTCACATCACATTAACCACCAGGCAATGCTCTCAGTCACACAGTCTGATTTTGAGGTGGTCCTGCACAGGGCCACGAGTTGGACTCGATGATCCTTATGGGTCCTTTCATTCTAATCATCATTTGGGGTCAACTACATCAGAATCTGTCCCTCTGCTGCTGTCAACGTGAGGGTCAAAGCAATACAGCATTTAGCTGGGTTAAAGCACAATGAGAGAAAGACTAGAAAGTGTGGGTCTGTTGGGTATTGGTTGTTCTATCATACACCAAATTACACCACTGTACTCCACACACTACGTTTCAAGAAAGCCTATGAATACAGCAGCACATTTATGATGAACAGTTGCTCTATCTTTTTGATAACTCTATTACTCGAGTTCAAAGAAGGTTTATGGACTAAAAAGCCTCAGGTACAGCCATGAATGTTTGATGCCTTCGCATATACTATGATTGGAAGTCACTCCCTGTTGGAATTATTGCACTCTGACAGTCTGTGGTCATTACAGGCCAATGGGAGAAGGACGACTATTAAAAATTATACACTTCCTATATTACAGGGTTATTTTTGCATTGAAAAACGGTACTAACTCATTCAAAGAGCCTTTGAAAACAAACAGAACTGTAGGCAACCAGTGTTTGCACAATGCCAAAGACCCAGCATGGTAACGTGAGGAGCTGCAGTCTTCTTTTGCAATTTATTTTGAATGACTGAAGAAGAGAAGAATTTCAAAACCACACGGGTTTATTTTCTGTTGAACACACCAAGGGATTCACCATCAGTGCCTTTGTCACAATGAACCAAGTACTGCCTGCTCTGAAACCAACAGCCCATCCCATTCCAGGGTCTGTAGACAATTCATTTTCTATTCCAGATACACCATCCAATGAGAAGCAATTTAGAGAAGTGACAAACAGAAGGAATTAGGGGTCAAAGCCACTCCATTCCAAAGCTCTGCAACAGCAAATCAAAATCCTTCTTGGAAATTTTACATGCAAGTTCGGCTCATCTTATTACAGCAAATCTCCATAGGGAAGCTATTCAAACAGCACCCAATTGGTGTTCCATACAGATCTCAACTCTCCTGAGGTCTCAGGTGTTTTACACTGTTATGAGCACCAGCAGTGAATTCTGACTTCACATTTATATCTTATCTGAGATCTTATCAGCAGGGATTTGAGTTGGGCCAATCCCTGCTGACCATCTTTGTATTCAGACAGCCAAATTCAGCTGTACTGACGCCACTCTCAGCACCATGGGGTCATAAAGTTTAGCAGATTAGTGGACCCAAAACACAACAAGGGTACAGCACATAGCAAAACAATATCAAGAACTAAGGAACTTTTTAAAGCCTGTAATTTCCAAACACAGCAGTTTGGACACCTGCAGTTCCCCATACACACATTCACACATCCTTGCTTTGCTTCATTTCCTTTACATTTCTGTTCTGGCCATTGCTTGTACATTCAGGAATAAAAAAATAAATAAGTCTGCTATGCTGCTTTGGTTTTATATTGTGGAGGTGAATTGCAGTGAAGCAGTTGTGCCTATTAACAAACAAACCAGCCTCACCACAGCTCTGCATCCTTCCAACCCTCAGGTTGCAGCACACACACCCACAGATCACTCACACACATGCAGACACAGCAGCATACAGAAGCTTAAGTTTGAGGATCTATTTCAAAGCTCTCAGCTCTTGAAAATGGGGGTGGGAGGGAAAGCAAAATAGGAGATTTCTGGGTGGGGAATCAAACAAGTAGTTGGCTGCCTTCCTATTTGTTTTGTGTATTGTCTCAAGGAGCCATAAGAACCCATCTCAGAATGCAAAATCAAACCTGATGCTCTTTGCACGCTCACAGTGTCACAAATTAAGATGAGAGTCTGGAAATAAATTATCAGACCTTAAGAGAAAGGCTCTGCATTGACTACATCTAAAATTCATTGGGATGAATGGGAGGGAAAGAAAACACACTCACACCCACAGAAATTATCTTTAGAAATGCTGAGTGATCAGCCTGCAGTCCAACCCTCCACCAGCAGGAATTTTTAACTAAAAACAATAGAAAGGAAGAAAAAAGCTCCCATAGGAATTCAATTTGAGGCCTTTCCATAAGAACTGTATTGCCCTTTATGTGCATCACCCAGCTCTCCTACTGCTTTGTGCATCCTGCAAAGTTCCCACTCAGCCCCACGGAGCTCTAACAGCCCAATTATAACCAAGCAACCCACAGGATATTTTTTATTGCAACATTACCTTTAAAACGCTTCAGTCATTTTTTGTCATTATTTGTCATGGCAACAGCAGTTAAGACTTTTCTTCCCTGCTCCTCCCATTGGTTTCACTCTAAACTCTTCTTATTCTGCTCTTGGAATGAGAAGGATATTGATTTGCTGTCCTAGTGGCATCTGGGAAGGGCCTCAGCTCCCTTCTTGCCTTCTTACCATTCACTTTTAGCCAGATGCCAGCAGGATTCCCTCCCTACCAAACACAGGAGCTAACAGGGACTGCACAGGGAATGAGCCAATGTATCAGTGAGGCAGGATAACACACCATGGGATTGCAGGCAGTGGGGGTGAACATCCTTCCCTCTTCCCATTCACTGCCCCAAGAATTTCAGCTGTGGCTCTGCTCCCATCCTTATCCCCTCACCAGTAGGATTCCTTCTATCTCCATTCCCCACCATGGGCATGCCTCAAGGAGGATTTTCCCTTTATGATCTTAGAATTAGATCACGCTGTATGGCTCAAGGGCGATTCGAATAACTTTTAGTAGCATCTCTTTATTTTCATCTTTATTCCAGCACATGAAAAGTTACCATAGCACTTCATCTACACAGCTCACCTTTTTTTTTATACTTAATGCTTTAATACCCAAGCAGCATGGTATTGTTAAAAGCCACCTCATATAGAAGCCTAAAAGGCTGCTTATGCTTCATGCAAATATTTCCTCAGTCGTGGCTTTTAATCTTGAGCAATCCTAAGGAACTCAATCAGTTCAAAACAACCAGGATTATCTAAACATGCAGGGTGGGAAGCAATCGGTGAGCAGCACCAAACACTGACTGCATCCAACACAATTTATTAAAACAGGAATCACAAAAACACAAACCACGCCACTTCTACACGAACAACACCCCAGCAAGCTCATTCCCATAAGAAATAAAGCCGCATATGGGGTTACAGCAGCAAACGAACGCATCGGGCTGCTGCATCGCTGCAGGGTCAACACGAGGGAAAGGCGCTGCAATGCGAGCAACGGAACAGCGCCCCCTACCGGCAGCACCGAATCATTGCAACCCGGAGGAGGGCGCGGAGCTGCGTTGTAAGCGCTGACCCCCAACCGCCCAACTCCGCCTCTTTAGGGGTCCTTGAAGCACTCAGAGCTCGGCATCGCTTAGTAAAGTCTTTTTCTCTGCTACCTACAGCAGAGTTATTGCTCTATTAAAGCTTTCGCGCGTGAGATTTAGGGTTTATTTCTGACCTTAACAAGAGTCTACCCTCCCCAGAATCGCCTTATCGCACTTTTGCCACTCCGCTAATTGCTCCGAGTGCTCCGTTCGGAACCTCTTAACTGCTCAGATCGCACAGCAAAAACCACCAACGTCGTCCCTGCCTCCTCACTCTCCAGCACGCACCCGCGCTGCCTGACACGTAAAGCATTCAAGGCTCGAAGCTCCCGACCCGCAAACACAGCCGAAAAGATCCCCACACTCAGCAACATTCAGCAAATCCACTTTAAAAAGACAAGCACTAAACGCGCTTTTAAACATTTAAACAAAAGCCGCTTACCTGCAGTCCGCAGCGCTCCGCGAGCTCCCGCAACATCGCGCATCTCTGATGGCTACCGGGGGGTCACTGAGAATTCACGGCCTTTAACAGTCATCAGCGGTCATTAACGGTCATTAATGGCCACACCTGCGGTGCGAGCGCAGCTGTGGGGCCAACGGCTGTGGGAGAGGCTCAGGCGGAGCTCAGCTGGCTCAGATGTGGGGCACGCAGCCCATGGTGGGGCTTGGAGGTGGGCACCCATTGTAGCCCCAACATCTCTAAGGATTCAGTGCTTTTCCTTGCTGCGGAACTGCTGAAACAGGTGAGACCATAACGAGCCACAGGTGGGGCTGATAATGCACTGAGCTTTGGCTCCTTATGGCTAATGCAGGAGCAAACAGCTCCTTACCCCCACTGCCATGTTCTGCTATGGGCTGTGTTGGCAGTGGTGGCTTTCAGTGCTCCTAGTGCTATCTTTGGCTGTGGTGCCCCTTCTCTCAGCCCCCTCCCTTGCCAGCACTTGGCTTTGCTCCTAGCTGCATGCCCCATCTCTGGGGGATGCATTTAAGGTCAGGCTGGATGTGGCTCTGGGCAGCCTGGTCTGGTGGTTGGTGACCCTGCACCAGTTTGGGGTTTGGAGCTGATGATCATTGTGGTCCTTTTCAACTCAGGCTGTTCACAGTATGGCCAGGGTTGGAAGGGACCTCAAGGATCACAAAGCTCCAACTCCCCTGCCACACGCAGGGCCACCGACCTCCACATTTCATAGCAGCCCAGGCTGCCCAGGGCCCCATCCAACCTGGCCTTGAACACCTCCAGGGATGGATGGGGCATCCACAGCCTCCCTGGGCAGCTGTTCCAGCACCTCACCACTCTCATAGCAAACAACTTCCCCCTGATATCCAACCTAAATCCCCCCTCCCTCAACTTCAAACCATTTCCCCTTGTCCTGCTGTTATCTCCCCTTTCAAAGAGCTGACTCCCCTCCTGTTTGTAGGCTCCCTTTAGGTACTGAAGGCTGCAATGATTCACCCCACAGCCTTCTTTTCTCCAGGCTGAACAATCCCAGCTCCCTCAGCCTGTCTTCATAGGGGAGGTGCTGCAGTCCCTGTTCCATGATCCCTCAGTGCTGTGCCTGCTGAGCGCTTTGGGGTGCAGAGCTGAGTGCTGCTGGTGCTGCCTCCAGGGCTCAGAAAGGCCCTACAAATGCTGCAGGCCATCTGCTGGGAGCTCAGATCGTTATAGAACATCCACAACTGTGTGCTGGGAGCTCTATCAGTACAATGTGACTTAAGAATTGTATTACGCTTGTTGCATGCAGAAACCTAAAGGGTTAAATTAATCCAGTATTCATTTTAAGAGCTGCAGTTTTGCTCCTTACGATGCTATTGATCCCATTTTCTTCAAGGAAGTTCCAAGAAATTGTGGTTTCTTTATGCACTACGGGAGCCTTTTGCTGCAGCTGCAATGCAAATCAAGCCATTCTGATCACCACAAACCCATTTTGCTCTTTAGAGATTAAAGCCCCCCAGAGGCAAAATTATCTATTTGACCCAATGGGTTTTCAGGGCTTTGATGATCTTCCTTGTGGATGAGGGGGTTTGTGGTGTCATTTTCTATCCACGGAATTTACATTAAGACAAATGAAGAATAGAAGAGGAGAGTGGGATCGTGGGTACAAGTGTGTCTGTATAAACATACTTTATAATTAGATAGCTATTATTATAGAGCAGGGGAAGAACTAAACCGATACAAATCACTTCTATACTAACCTAATTGCATCCGCCAAAGAGTTCATAGCAGCATCATTCTTTTATATTAAAAAAAAAAATAAAAACCATACCTCTCACCAATTATTATTATTCTGGTGAAATGTAAATGCAGAGCAGACCGTGGATACCAATTAAACTGCAGTTGGCAGAGCTGCTATTCTCTAAATAGAATAGGTGTAAGGGGACAGACAGCAAAATAAATAATGAAATAGGAAATAATAGAAGCGTATATCTGTGATATTGTCAGATTGTCTGATGAGCCAACGGGGAGATCAGGGGAGAAATAATTGTATAAATCATTGAAGCAGATTCTTGCTATTGGTTTGGAGAGAATCTGTTCATTCTAAATGCAGTGCAATTAATCCTCACGATCTTTGGTGTGTGTAACTCTGTGTCTCAGTGCTCGAAGCCAATAGAGGATCTCCAGGGGCCACCAACCAACTTTGCTTCAATGACATACAGCTGTTCCACAAAACCAATGCAGTACCTTTCCTATCAGAATACATTGCTTCCGTTTACCCAGAGCACAAAGTGATGCCTGGAATCACTTACTAAGGATTCCACGAATGCAGGACCAAACCTGGTTATTTATGTCACCATCCTCACTGGAACAGGTTGCCCAAGGATGCTCCATCCTTGGATGCTCCATCCTTGGAGGCATTCAAGGCCAGGCTGGATGTGGCTCTGGGCAGCCTGGTCTGCTGGTTGGCGACCCTGCACATAGCAGGGGGTTGAAATTAAATGGTCATCGTGGTCCTTTTCAACCCAGGCCATTCTATGATTCCATGTGATGTTAATAAGAGCTTATTTCCATCGCAGAAGCCTTCAGAAGTTGTTGCAAAGCACTTAAAGAGGAAGCAGGGCTGTGTCTGAAATTGATGAACTTCTCGTGTTTGCTTGCTTTTCTTCTTCTTGATTACTTTTTCTTTTTTAATTATTGTTAGATCTACTGGACTTCATCACAGCCAGGAGAGGAAGAAGAGGATGGGAGGAGAGAAAGGAGAGAACATTAAAAGAGTTATGGACAAAGATTTAGGTGAGATTTATGGTTCATATCTTGCTATGGAAGGAGAGGAGCATTATGACAGTCATTTATGGCTCCTTGCTGTGATGGAGTCTTGGACTGGAAATGAAGAAGGTGCTGTTAAACAGGCTGAGATGTTGTAAGCAAGAATCCTCAGCTGCTACAACCATTGGCTGATGGTCTGCTGGAAAATTAGTGAAGCTGTAATGGCTCCTGGACTCAACCTTAAACCTGTTGTGTCAGAATTCATCTGCTTGTTCACACCACCTCACAGCTATGGCTCAAATGGGAAAGATAGAGTGGCATAAGGATGGTTTTGCTGCTTTGCTATTCCCCTGAGGCAGGAATAAAAAGAGACTGCTATAAACTTCCTTCTAGTCTTCTGTAAGTAGGAGGGTACAGATTTACACATAGGCTATTTCTATTCCACAGAATGACTTTGAAATAGGCTTATAGTTATTGCTTTACAAGTTCTTTTGGATCGTTGCACCTCCCTACATCCTTGGCTTTTGTGGCCTTATTTCCTTGGCGTTTCTGGTGTTTGGTTTGTTCTCCAGTTGGCTCTTATCCTTTATCCCAGGGAAATCTGGGGAACTGCTGCACTTTCAGCTCTTAACATAAACAAATGTGATGCTACCAGTAGCTGGAGCTGAAATCAGAGCAACCAGCAAATGGTTCTCTGCCAAATTAAACAGCATTAGTTACCCATCCGTGAAACAGAAGGCAATACAAAGAGTAAAGTCAAGGTTGCCCCTTTGGAACACAGCTTTCCCAAAGCTCAGCCCACAGTGCAGCACCCTCCTACCTGTTGATTAAATCATACATACAGCCTTACATCTTCCTTTTGAGCAGTGCTTTAAATTGACAAACATCCCCAGGTAAGTTTGAAGCTCGGCCTTACACAATTTATTCTAAAGTATCCAAGGTTGTATTGTATTCAGGTGGCTGTGGCTGTGTTTGCTGGCAGATAAGCAGAGGATTTCATTTCTAGACTGTCAATCCAGCACCTTTCTACTGGCATCATATTCCCTTTAATTAAAAGTAGAAAGCTCTGACAGTCTGTTAACAATGGAAACACTTGCGAGCAACTGTACTATTAAATGAGAGCTGTTTCCAAGTCTCTATTGTTAATTATTACCATTACTGAGTATTTAGAGCAGGGAACACGTTTACACTACTGCTCTGTACTCAGCATCAGTCTGCAATTAATTTCCAAGGCTGTGATTGAAATGAACTAGATATATACATTTTTCCCTTGATGTCCCTCCAGCAAAGTGATGCTCTGAGGTGTTTGATGCTACCATCTTCAAAACATTTCATCATCTCTGAAACCAGAGCTTCCAATTGCAGATGTCCATTTGAATCCTGCAGGCAGAGCACCCAAAGTCTTCTACCCTGAGTGACAGAGGACACCTTGATTCCATAGTGTAGATACAGACCCTGATCCTATCCCATAGGCTCTTGTGGGACACAACTTCCACTATTTTGTCTAAAGCCACTTTGTGGAATTGGGATGTGCATCCTGGATTTAGGAGTATTATTTCATCAAGAAAAGTGAGGAAAAATTCCCAGAAGTTCCTAAAATGCCATCGCAGCCATCCTGACAGCTTAGCTTTCAAGTCCTTGCAAATAATGTAAGTAACAGCTCTCTATTTTTCTCTGATTTTTATGTTCTTGGTTCTTCTCAGGCCCATCTGAAGCAAAGCTCATCACTGGGTCTGAATGTTTTTGTTTTTCTATGTGAACTTGAACAAACAACTTTTCTTTGTTGTTTCGTACTTTCTCTTAGATAGCAAAGTGTGAGCTCCTAGCCGTTGTAATTATTAGTATATTCCTGGAGAAAATTGCAACAATCTATATTAAAGGACTCCCTGCAGAAGCTTACACAGCAGGTATCCAATTCTGCATTAAATAAAAGGCACTTGGAACAGCCAGGGGTTTAAAATAGGAGGAGGCAGAGGGAACGAACAGGATTTTGAGGAACAGCAGGGATGATTTGCAGTGGTCAGAGCAGATAGTGGTGCTGAATTATTTGGATAATTAGTCTTCATTAGCAAATTGGAGCAAATGATGATACAATGCCAAGATTGTGTAACGTGCTGGGCGGAGAGATTCCTTCTTTTTCCTTTCTTTCTGTTTTCTCAACTGAGTAAAGCCCATATTAAAAGTAAGGCTGGTACTGGGTTTCAGTGTTTGACAGCAGGTTAAGGGAAGGTGTCTTGCAACCCACTGCTGCCCTTTTGTGTGCTTATATCTGCTAGATTTAATATCTGCTGTGTTGCCCATCTTCACTTAATGATGTATTCTAGGAATGGAGAGGCTTAAACAATGATCACAATTGGTTAGATGCCATTTTTTTTTTTTTTTTCTGACCCAGTTGGATAAAGCTTTGCCTTCTAACAGTTCTGCCTTTTGATGGGGAAGGATTTATTGCACAATATGATGATGTTACTGTATGTTCTTGTCCATTAACCCATTCTGATGGATTCATAATGCATTAATCACAACAGTACTCAGCATCAAGTCCTTATTTCACAAGGAAGTGCAGTCTACCATGCATTCAGACCTAGGAAGAGTGATGTTATCTGCATCATAGTATGATCTGGCTGATATCCTATAGCTAACAAAGGTTAGAATGGAATATTAGATGTCCAGTATTAGAGGAAACATGTAATAAGATTGTAAATTCCTGACTCATAATGTGCCATTTGTCTAACACAAACAGGATTCAAACAACAGGGAGAGAGTAGGAGGTGATTCTTTAGTTACTAAATTATACCTTGTGAACTGCAGAGGATCTGTAATTAACGGTGCCAAATGAGTAAAGTCAAGAATTGCATTTTGTAGCCTTCGTTAGCAGTTAAAAAGAAAGGAATGGAGGGAAGAACCCAACAGCCAGCAGGTTAGAAGTTAATTAGGAGCAGTTGTAAGGGAGTGCTGCTTTACTCTGAAGCTTTCGGAGTAATTTAAAGCTTTTTAATGCCACTATAAAAGTTTCTTGTGCTGGAAAGTCTTCTGACAAAAGAAAACAAATCCCTGGGTAACTCCAAGCCAGGTTGCTGGTAGCTTTTTGGATTCTGAACTGCAGGGTTTCTGCCCATCAACACGTCTTACTTGCTGCATTTAACTTATTTTCACCAGATTTGGTGGGGGTGAACTGGTCAGAGTTATGCTTAGTCAGCATAAGTGCTCATGTTTTAATGTGAGCTGTGTTGTTTTCAACAGTGGATGTTGAGGAGCTCTTAGCATTATAAGCAACGTGAGTTGAGAAGCATTTATACTTGAAACACATCCTAAAAAGAAATGAACCAAAAGGTGTTTGCCAGCAATATAACAGAACCTGGTGCTGGCTCTGTCCCTTCCCTCATCTCATCGTTTCTTGCCTAGTCTGGTGATGTCACCATTCAAACTATGGGAAGTCACAGAATCACCAAAGTTGGAAAAGATCAACCAGTCCAACCATCCACCCATCACCAATAGTTCTCACACCTTGGTGATTCTGTGATTCTATAACGTCACATCTGTGTGTTATTGGATCACCTGGCCAACAGTGATACCGATTTGATGCAGGTAAGACAAGTTGCCTTCCTGCAGAATTAGCCAGAATACATAATGTGTGTTTGTCCTGTTTGACAGCTGTGGTAGGAACGTTCCTGATCAAGCAATATCTGATCTGTAGGCACAAAGTTACCCCTTCAGCATTAATTTACGTGAGCAGACTTGCTTTGTCCGAATTCAGCACTTTGTCTCTTAACCTAATGCAGCATCTTAAACTGAATTTACAGTCCTGTGGAACTTCAGCTTGAGTTCTCGTAAAAGCAGGAGCATAAAGCACTCATTCTGTTCTTTCTGTGGGATTGCACCACCACTTCTGCATCAGGAATGATGGGACAGACACCATAACCTTCATCTTTCTTTCACGTAGTCTGTGATCACCAGTGATGTGCCATTGAAACAGGCTCTGAAACCTGTCACTGAATTAAGTTTGAAGTGCTTGATGTGATTCTTTAATTAGAAAAGCAAGGGATAACTCATTTCACTTGCAAATTTTGAAGCATCGTAGGAACTGAAAACTCCAAATGAGGATTCCTTTTGGGAGACAAGAAACAGGGACAGCAACATGTAGTTTATGGCTTAACCAGTACATTTTCTTCTGAATACAGAGAAACAAATGAGACTTGAAGGGAATTTTGAAGTCCCTGCTGTCGTGCTGTTCTACAGCCTGTCCCTCTTGTGATGCTGTGTGCCCTACATGAGTGCGTTGTCAAAAGGACCAAATAGCAGCAAGTGTGTAAGGGACAGTGAAAGGATAAACTGAATAGCTGTGCCTTCATCTCTGGGAAGCTCCATTTGTGAAACATGGAGCAAGCTGAAGCTTCTGGTGAGTGAAATAGAACTTCTGGCTGATGAGATTCGATACCAAACTGTGGCTTTATGGCTAGAAGAGTCACTGTGATAGGCATTGTGAGGCACCTGTTTGAAAACCAGTGTGCTATAGACAGTGTTTTTGTTATATGCTTTCTGCAAGGTTACATGTAGATCTACTATAGTCCTCATGACTTTGATCTGGATGTTATCCTCACCTTCCACGTCCTTCTGCTGTTCCTTTGCTATTTGTTTCTGTTGTGGATTCCTATGGACTTGACTTTGTCTAACAGAGCACTTTGGTTTCAAAGGGAGTATTTGGTCTTTCACAAGTTTGTCTACAACATCTACATAAAAATCCTTGTGTACTTTTTGTGTGGGAGGTATTAAAAGCACAGAGCTGTGAAAGGGTTAATGAGCCCAGGCGAAGTTAACAAGGGATGGGCAATAAATGGCTCCAGCTGTGTATAATTAACTGTAATACTGTGAAGTAAATGACTTTTATTGGCAAGCATGTCATAACTTCATTAAAAGTCATATTTACAGCCCTCTCACATGGAATGAGTACTTGTGTAGTCTGCAATTTAATGAGCACTCATTTTCACCTTGTTCCAATTATCTCCCACCCACCCCTCCCTCTCAGTGTG